TCATCCATCCATCCATCTATCCACTCTAACATCCATCAGTCTGTCTGTCAATCCATCAGTCTGTCAGCCCATCTGTCTGTCCATCCATCCATCTGTCCATCTATCTGTCTGTCCATCCGTCATCCATCCATCCATCTATCCACTCTAACATCCATCAGTCTGTCAGTCCATCTGTCTGTCCACCCATTCAACTGTCCATCCATCCATCTATCCATTTCTCCATCCATTCAACCAACATTAATCTATCATTCATGATGAGCCAGGCAAAATGCCCCTTGCAAAGGAATGCCCACAGCACTGATGCTATTAGCCTATGCCTGGCAGAGCCCTTTCGTCTTCCCAGGAAATAGGGATCACTGGTGAAGCAAATATAAGAGTTGGCTGAGTTGTCCTCCTCTCTACCTGGGAGCCACACCCAAAGGAGGGGCCTCCACCCCCACCCAAGGAAAGCAGTGTGTTGATAAATATTTTTGGGCCACAACTTCAAAGGCCCCAGTACTTGTGGCTATGAACCACCTTGAGCTCCCCAGCTGGGACCCCTCCTCTATACTTCTGCCCCTTTGGGGAGCCCTGAAGGCTCCATCACAAGCTTCACTGCCATGCCCTTGGGTTGTGACGCCAAAGTGCATGGCAGGTAGGCATCGTGGATGACCTGTCGGACAGTGGCCCGGAAAGTCTTGCTGACAAAGCAGTAGAGGCCAAAGTTGACCGCTGTGTTGAGCATGGCCACCATGTTCGCCACGTCCAAGGCCAGGTGGACCCTCCAGTCCCGGTGGACAGGGGCCACATACATGTGGTAGAGCATGACGGAGACCCGGGGTGCCCACAGGAGGGTGAACAGCGTGGTGACGCCCAGGAGGATGGCCGTGCTCTTGCCTACCCGCGGTTGGCCCGTCCTCCGTAGCCGGTGGATGATGGCTGAGTTGGTGACCAGGAACACGCCACAGGGGATGAAATAGACAGTGAGGCAGTGAGCCCACTTGAGGACCTCATCCATCGTGCTGGGTGGGTCGGCATCTCTCCACACATCCAGCCACCAGTAGAAGGGGATGCCCGTCAACAGGGCAGCACTGAGGACAGCAGCAATGGCCCGGCGGGTGCGGCCTGGGGATGAGGCTGCCCGGTGGTGCAAGGGGTGGCACAAGGCGCTGTAGCGGTCAACCGTGAGCAGGATGGCAATCCAGACCGAGGCGTGGTTGGCAGCAAACTCCAGGATGTTGGCTGTGCGCACCACAGCCTGGGGCACCTGGCGGGCCAGCACGGCTCCCTGCAGGAGAAAGCCTGCGAACACGATGACTACCTGGGTGATGATATCTGAGGCCGTGAGTGCCAGAAGGTAGTAGTAGGAGGGCTTCCTGGTCCTGGTGGCAAGGCGGGCCAGGGCCACTGCGGTCAGCAGGCTGACTGATGGCAGCCGAGGTCAGGGAGGGGAGAGGCACAGGCATCAGAAGAGAGCTCCGACTGCTTTCCAAGGTGTCACTGTTGCCCCTCCCCACCTGCGTGTGTGGAAGCTGTGCTGGCTTTTCCTTTTCCTCCTTCTAGATCCTTCTGAACCCCCACTTTGCCCATAAGGTAATCCAGGCCAGCTGTGCCCTGTCCATCCACTGCAAGCCACTGGCTGCACCCCTGTTACACACAGGTAAGTATACACGGCAGGATGTCCTCAGAAGCCACCTGTCCTGGCGGTGTGCGGTGGCTCACACCTGTAATTCCAGCACCTTGGGAGGCCAAGGCAGGCGGATCACCTGAGGTCAGGAGTTCGAGACCAGCCTGGCCAAATGGTGAAATCTCATCTCTATTAAAAAATATGAAAATTAGCTGGGTGTGGTGGCACACACCTGTAATCCCAGCTACTCAGGAGGTTGAGGCAGGGGAATCACTTGAACCTGGGAAGTGGAGGCTGCAGTGAGCAGAGATCATGCCACTGCACTCCAGCCTGGGTGACAGAGTGAGACTCCATCTCAAAAAAAAAAAAGAAAAAAAAAAAAAAAAAAAAAAAAAAAAAAAAAAAAAAAAAAGGAAGGAGGGAAAGAAAAGATAAATAAAGAAGAGAAAGAAAGAGAAAGAAGGAAAGCAAGAAAGAAAGAGAGAGAGAGAGAGAAAGGAATCTTTCTGAATGAAAAGATACTCTTGGTCTGGAAATTAAAAGACCCACCTCCAGGTACCTGTTCAACAAGGTTGAATACTTCAAAAACTTCAAGATCTTCCAAGGAGAAAGGAGAGATCATGTTAAAGATACTAGACTGACTTTGAGTCCTGTTACACCAGCCAAGGAGAAGAGAAAGGTGGGGACAGTTCATATACAGTCAAGAGAAAAGCGACTTTCATCAAAGCCTGGATCCACAGCCAAGGGACACTTCTCTTTAAAATACGCAGCGTTTCCCCCAACCCAAATTCATATGTGGGAGACTTAACTCCCAGTACCTCAAAATGTGACTGCATTTGTGATATGGACTTCAAAGAGGCGATGAAGTTAAAATGAGCTTGTTATGATGGGCCCTCATCCAACCCGACTGGCGTCTTTATGAGAAAAGATTAGGACATGCAGACACAGTGGAGGTGTGCACGGAGGAAAGGCCTTGTGGGGACACAGGGAGAAGGTGACCTTCTGCAGGCCAAGGAGAGAGGCCTCAGAAGAAACCCAAGCTGCCAACAGCTTCCTCCCCCTCCCCCTCCCCTCCGCCTTCCCTCTTGCTCCTCCCCCTCCTCCTCCTCCCCCTCCTCCCCCTCCTCCCTCTCCTCCCCCCCTCCTCCCCCTTCCCTCTTCCTCCTCCCCCTCCTCCTCCTCCCCTTCCTTCTTTAACT